GACGACGATCGCGGACTGGATGCACACCCAGGTTGGTTTGACGTGCCGTCGACGACGGTCCACGTCGCCGTGCACTTGTCGCCGTCCACAACATCCAACACATGGAGATCGTTGAAGCACTTGGCGGGGTACGTGGCGGAGGGGGCGCTGCCGTACCCGCCAAAGAGAAAGAAGCGCCGACGAAAGGCGACCAACGTCATGCCGGCTCGGGGGAATGGCAAAGGTGTGGATTCCGGGAATACAATTCCCGACCAACGCCATGAGGTCGTGTCGAGCACGTGGAGATCGTTCAAACGATGGGAGCCATTCCACCCGCCAAACACAAACAACTGTGAGCCCAGCACGGCCGAGCTGTGATTTGCGCGGGGACTCGGTGGGGTGCCGCTAGTGGAGGGGACGCTCCAATGCCGCGTTGCCAGGTCGAAGAGGTGGAGATCATTCAAGTATTCTTTGCCGTCGCCGCCACGAAAGACGAGTAGTCCGTTGAGATGCGGGAAAAAGTCGGTGGTGTGCATGTTACACGGACCGGGATGGGTACCTGTGGTGGCAGGCGATTCCCATTCCATCGTGTGGACGTGCAAGATGTGGAGATCGTTCGCGGCATACAGTCCATTGCCGAGCCAACCGCCCAGAATGTATATGCTGTCGTAGGCAAGCGTTGCCGTGTGTCCATTGCGGCCGACAGGAAACGCAGCCGACGGCCGACCATGTCGTGGCAGCGCCGTTGGATCGGAATACGTTTCCCACGTCAACGTGTTGCAGTCAAAGATGTGCAAGTCGTTGTGGTTGCGGCGACCGTCGTACCCTCCAAAGACAAAGATGCGAGAACCGACGAGGGTCGCTGCAAGGCGCATCAGGTGAATGGCATGTCAACATCGAGCTCATATCGTACCCGTGTGGTTCTTCAACGTGGGCACTGCGGGCACAATGTGCTTGGTGTCTTCCCAGCGCATCATGCAGGGTGAATTCCACGTTGTTCCGTGGGCCATGTCGATGTCAGCCAAAGTCTAGCCGTCGTCGTACTCGTAGCGACCGCGGCGCCGGAAGTGGCGTCTTCTTTGAAATGCGGTCTCGGAAGAATATGTGGCATAGAATTCCCTTAAATAAGTCACCTGTTGCGTTCTGCCGCGCACAATCGATAGCGCGCCAAAGCGGGAGATCCAGACGTGTCGATGATCGCGCTGAAGGAGGATAGATGAGCCTGGCAGCCTACATCCCTTCACGAAGGGCATGCTAGCATGCCCAACTTGTTGCTGCCATTTGCGAACTGGCGACAGTTCTATCCCGTGAGCACATGACCCACGGCCAAGCGTACCGACCGTCGTCGCGACCGCGACGACTTGGGCCAGGTACATGCACCGCGCAGACGGCGATGGCGGGGTCGCGACGCACGATGGCAACACGAAACATGCATTATGGATCGAACACGACGGGACAACTTGGGAGATTGTCTACTTGAATTACACGTGCTTGGTCTGGGTGTCGACAATGCGGATGGTGTTCATGGGGCTATCGTCGCCAGTGGTGCTGCTGTTGTGCAGCGACATCGTGTTCTTGCTGCTGGACAAGTGATCTTCCGTATCGCGCAACGAAATCGTGTAGTTGCCGCCGCCCGACTCGACTTCGTGGTCGTGCAGGGTCGGCAGCCCCGTGACGCTCTCGTACTCGTCTTTTGCCCACGCGGACGCGTAAGTCCACAGCATGTAGAGCTGCCGCACAAACATCGCGACAAACACAACAACGAGAACGATCACGATCGCATACGACACGTTGATCTGGGTCTCGGTGGAACTCGTCTCGCCGGTGAGGCCGCACGCGAGCGCATACACGGTCAGGATCAACACTTGAAACCCCACGGCGAACTTGAAGTGGACCGAGCACACAAACGGCTGGAGCACAAACATGCTGACCAAGTACAGCGCGTGCACGATGACGAGCGAGAGGAGCTGCGTAAGGGCGTCAGCAGTCACGGACGCCACCAAGATGCCCGTGAGGAACTGGACCAACGCGCCGGCGGCAAAGAAGAGCCGGCTCGTGTAGTGGTAGTTCGAGTACACAACACCCCACACAACGCGCGTGCGCCACTTGGACAAGCCGGCTTCCGTCAGCGACTGCAGCGCGTACATCCCGTAGAGCACGGCGCCGACAAGGACGACGAGCGTCGCGATCGACAAGATCGCATACAGGTGGGGGAATCCCGTCGACGACGCGTCTTGCAGCACCTCAAACATGGAGATCATCGAGAGCGGCAAGATCGCAAAGTACCCGACGAGCACGCACATGCCAAGGAGGCGGCGCGAGATGCTGCGAAAGCTCACCGACCGCTTGTGCGAGTCGGTCGTGTCCGAGTGGAACGGGTTGCCGCGCTTAGCAACCCATTGCGACAGCAGCGCGGTTGCAATCACAAACACCATCAAGACCGCGACGACCACGAGCACGGCGACCCACACACGGATAAACCAGTCCTTGTCGTTGATATCGGACCGCAGCGAGAATTGAATCTTTCCTTGCGCGTCGTACGTCGCTTCCGCGAGCACGCGGCCGCCATGCGCAAACAGTTGCGCGACACTCGACGACGATGCGGTCGGCGCCGACCCGCGGATCAAAAACTCGAGCCAGCTGAGCGAGTCGACAAAGCTCATGAAAAACTTTTGCGGCACCTTGGTGTTCTTGGTCAAAGCGAGAACGCCCACGTGCTGGATGAACGAGATGAACGCGGGGAATTCCCAAGAGTTGGGCGCGGCCAGCCGGTCCGATGCCGCGTCCGGCACAATGTACGACGGGTTCATCGCGATAAACTGAAAGAACGCGAGCAGGACGAGCGTGATCCCGACCACGGACGAGCTCACGTACCGCAGCGTTTGGACCGACTTGGTTTCGGTCCCGGTCGTGATCGACGCCTTGAGGTCCTCGAGATCGTCGACGGTCCTGTTGCCGCCATACACGTCGTCGCGGCGCTTGTCCTGGCGGTTGTTGTCGGGCGCGACTTCGTTGTCGACTGTCGCGGCGCCGCCGCCGGTCGGCGTTGGGACCGACGACTTCTCGACGAGTTCTTCCAGCGGCGCGGGGGTCGTCGTGAGCATCGGCGACACGGTCGTGCCGTTCAACAGCGCTTGCGAGATCACGCTGGCGGTCACCGGAACGTCCGTCGTCGCGACCACGATGTCGGTGGGAAGAATCGTAAACGTCTTGGGAGGTTCTGTCGTCACGGGCGACGGAGTCGTCGCGGGGACTTCGGTCGTGATGGGAATTGTCACAGGAGCGTCGGTCGTGACGGGAATGCCAGAGGTCACAGGGGC